CTTTAATGACTGGTACATCTTTAATACCCTTTCAATGGCAGGCATAAGCGCAAGCCACCTGGTTTTACTGTAGCCCAGCATTTTTTGATATTCTGTTTCACTTTCGGTACAAAACTCCTTTAGAGCTTCAACTCGGACTGTGTAAATATAAAAAAACGAATATATCTTTACAATAATGCATTCGTAATCTATGGGTAAGCCATCTGCAGCGGATTTTATTGCATTGTGGATTATATGAGCTCCGCATCCAATACCTATTATTGCTTTATCCAGAGATGATTGTAATTTCACTAACACGTTATTAGTACCTCGCCTTGCTGCCCCTCCAAAATTGACGTTGGCATTGTCTCCACAAAACGCTACGACTTTAGCAGACAAATTATTATCTCTTAACACTTGGACTAAATAACTGACAATGATATCAGAAGTTTCACCCGGTTGGTTTTGTAGGTCCAAAATTTTTACTTGCACACCTTCGTAAGGTTGAAAAAAGCGCACTAGAACAGGGTATATTTTCTTGCTACCATGATTTGAAGCGTCGGTTGAAATTGAAATGCAATTGGACTTACCAAGATCATCTTTCAGTTCTTTAATCGCAGTTTGCGCCAAAATATTTACAACAATAGCTTCTGTTTTAGTACGCGCGCATCTAAATTTCTGATCGAAACATGATTGGATTAATTTTGACGCACAATCATTGGAGCGGAAACTATGGTTTTCTTGTATCGTGTGATAAGCCCAGACGCCCTCTGCCGCAGCGATATCCAAGTCCTTTGAAGTTGGCACACTCGACTTCTTAAAAAATTTAACATTGAAGAACTTGAAGCAGCTGTGATCCGGCATTTTGTTTTCAGATTTTTAAATGATGTTCAATATCACCAGCACCGCTATGGGAAACACTGAATTCTGTACGACACTTTTCGCATCTGACATTTGACGGAGTATTTGTTTGCTTAATAAACGGATATTTGCTTTTTAAATTGTCATTAAAAGTGCACTTACGTTTCGGCATGATTAAATACTATTTATTAAGTCTAATAACTTTTTAAACGTTAGTTGCGTCACGATTACAAATATTACGCGGTTATCAAAGAAGAAATATTCCGACAGTAAATAACCAACATAATAATATGAAACATTACTAACGTCTATTACCAACCCAAAACTTGTTATAGTTAGGCAACCAAAGATACCTTGCACATATATCTTTCAGACACGGATGGTCTGCACCAATCAATATTTGTTGGTTTATTTGGATTTTTAGTATATAGCGAAAACGGGACAATTTGGCGTCCCGAAGCGTCTTTCGGGGACACCGGGACAGACGGTCGAAAAAAGGGACGGTCCCGTTCAAAACGGGACGTATGGTCACGTTATTAATACCCTTTCAATGGCAGGCATAAGCGCAAGCCACCTGGTTTTACTGTAGCCCAGCATTTTTTGATATTCTGTTTCACTTTCGGTACAAAACTCCTTTAGAGCTTCAACTCGGACTGTGTAAATATAAAACGAATATATCTTTACAATAATGCATTCGTAATCTATGGGTAAGCCATCTGCAGCGGATTTTATTGCATTGTGGATTATATGAGCTCCGCATCCAATACCTATTATTGCTTTATCCAGAGATGATTGTAATTTCACTAACACGTTATTAGTACCTCGCCTTGCTGCCCCTCCAAAATTGACGTTGGCATTGTCTCCACAAAACGCTACGACTTTAGCAGACAAATTATTATCTCTTAACACTTGGACTAAATAACTGACAATGATATCAGAAGTTTCACCCGGTTGGTTTTGTAGGTCCAAAATTTTTACTTGCACACCTTCGTAAGGTTGAAAAAAGCGCACTAGAACAGGGTATATTTTCTTGCTACCATGATTTGAAGCGTCGGTTGAAATTGAAATGCAATTGGACTTACCAAGATCATCTTTCAGTTCTTTAATCGCAGTTTGCGCCAAAATATTTACAACAATAGCTTCTGTTTTAGTACGCGCGCATCTAAATTTCTGATCGAAACATGATTGGATTAATTTTGACGCACAATCATTGGAGCGGAAACTATGGTTTTCTTGTATCGTGTGATAAGCCCAGACGCCCTCTGCCGCAGCGATATCCAAGTCCTTTGAAGTTGGCACACTCGACTTCTTAAAAAATTTAACATTGAAGAACTTGAAGCAGCTGCGCGATCGGCATTTTGTGTTTTCCAGATTTTAAATGATGTTCAATATCACCAGCACCGCTATGGGAAACACTGAATTCTGTACGACACTTTTCGCATCTGACATTTGACGGAGTATTTGTTTGCTTAATAAACGGATATTCACAGCTTTTAAATTGTCATTAAAAGTGCACTTACGTTTCGGCATGATTAAATACTATTTATTAAGTCCTAACTTTTTAAACGTTAGTTGCGTCACGATTACAAATATTACGCGGTTATCAAAGAAGAAATATTCCGACAGTAAATATAACATAATAATGAGCATTACGCGTCTATTACCAACCCAAAACTTGTTATAGTTAGGCAACCAAAGATACCTTGCACATATATCTTTCAGACACGGATGGTCTGCACCAATCAATATTTGTTGGTTTGTTGGATTTTTAGTATTTTCTTGAAAAACGGGACAATTTGGCGTCCCGAAGCGTCTTTCGGGGACACCGGGACAGACGGTCGAAAAAAGGGACGGTCCCGTTCAAAACGGGACGTATGGTCACGTTAGTTATAACAGAAATAGTTTCCCCCTTTTCAGCACTCGTAATACAATTTACCATCTTTGCACCTTTATTTATCAGGACTTTTCCGGGATTATTGTTCTACTGCAATCCAGTTTCATCGAGGTTAAAGATTTTCTGTGGAACATTTAACAAATTATTTTCTCTTAAAATGTCTCCTAATAATTCAAAATATTTAACACATTCTTCTTGTGTCATTCCTTTAGCTCTGGCGATGGACAGTCCTTGAGCTTTACGTACTGCCAACTCAGGATGTCTCGTCATAAATGACAAAAACCAGCCTTGCCCTGCTTTTTTTGCCTCATTATTAAAAGTATGGGGAATGTTTTTTCGAACAGCAAAAGAAAACGCAAGTTTTCTGATATCATGGGCAGAAAGCGAAAAGCCGTGTGATGCCATGTTTTGTATGTATTTGGATAAACTAGTTTCTTGTTCAGTATTAAGGCAGCTTTTGCGACCTAGAGGAATTTTATTCAGATTTCCTGATTCCTTTCGTCTCATTATGGTTCTAACAGGAACTTTATAAATTCGACTTATCTTCCGAACTGAGCCTCTACCAGCAATGATATCGCCAATAGCATTCTGAAGATCTTCTTCTGACCTTAGATTTTATATATAGATACCCTCTTAGATTTTTTCGGACGTAAGAACGTGGCATTATTGTTATCTAAAGAATAAAAAAAAAATATTTTATTTAATAGATACGTTATAAAAATGTTTGGGGTAATATGCCGCACTACCATTTTAGTGGTGCATATTACCCCAGAATACAAACTATATGTTTTAACTAAGAATCGCAAACTCCAGTGTAAACCTGGTAAACGCTACATACAAAAAATGTTAGGTTAGAAACCCTACTTTCCCAGTAATATAATGTTTAAATCGGATTATTAATATCTGGTTCGACAAACTTTTGCGAAATATGTTGTAAAAAATTTTTTGAGATGTACTTACCGGTTTTTAGCACCAATCGTTTAAGTTTAATCAAAAATACCAACAATCAACCAAGCATGCGCTCAGCGCTATCTTTTTAAACAAAACAGGTGTCCACTGCTGGAATGTTGCCAACTTTCTTGTACGACCTAAAAATAGACTGCGGCATATTACCTGATGCGGCATATTTCCCCGCTTTACTCTAATACATTTACTATTCTGTCTCACTATTTGTATCTGACTCATCGTACTGCAGATCCCCGCTCACGCAAACGAGTCTTCCTTTAAGTCGATACCACTGTCACAAAATCATATCGATCACAAAATTATTTAAAAATAAATCAATTTCTTTTTAAATCAAACTTGAATAACTCGGTTATTTTGGACTTATTTGGAAAACGGTAAAAAGAAAATATGTTTTTTTATCGAAATCTACCAGCTCAGAAAATATTTGCACTTATTCAAGACTCACCCTGTAGAGTAATATCGTGTTTTTTATAACTGTCTACCGCTGATTGAGCCACGTTTTTTTCTCTGTCCTTTTGCATACGGCTTTTTAAATAAATTAACATGACATTCCACCAATCGACATGCATGTAAGCGATGCTTTTTTTTTGTCAAATTCCATGCCTCTTTCGGGTTGCCTGCCGGCATTTTACCCACGAGAAAAATGTCTGTCAACAGTTTTACACGTTTCTTAATAATTAATAAAAGCTATTTTCGCAATTATAACACGTGTACCTTATAATATTTTTAGTGTCAAAATTTCACCCTTTCGATTGGCCCCCCCCCCCTATAAGCCCCGGGATCGCGCTGGGAGACATGACTATTTCATAATGGCTATCAAAAGGATACTTCACACAAAAAATTAGCTATGTAACGATGATAAGGTTTTTTATGTAGCCAGCTCTCCGTCTATTATACTTATGTACCTTTACAAATTTTGTTATAGCCGAAATAGCCCCAATTATGACTCCACTAGCAAAACCGGTGATTAAAACTATGCTCGCTACCGTAGTTGAACTCATCTAAAAAGTTTTTTTAGCTGGAATAATAAATTATAATACAAGTTAGACCTTTTGAAGATATCAAAGTATTTACTTTCTATTTTTATTTTTAGAATTTTTACAAATTGTACTTCCTAACACTTTTAGAATAATTATAAAATATTTTTTTTGTATATTCGCTTGTTAAACCCGTGTATTTGTATATACTAGTTGTTTACAATATTCTCCGATGGTGGCATCACCGGCGGAGAATATACCAAGCCTATAACAAAAAATGTTTTCGTTTTATTTGTATAAATTTATCTTTCCTTTATTTTTAGGTATTACTTGCCGAATTGAAAGGCACCGAATACTACTATGCTGTGAAATGCTTGAAGAAAGACGTAGTACTTGAAGATGATGATGTTGAATGCACCCTGATAGAAAGAAAAGTACTAGCTTTGGGTACCAAACATCCTTATTTATGTCATCTATTGTGCACATTTCAAACAGAGGTAAGTTATAAATGTATGGTAGAACAAAGGAATATATAGTATGTGCCCCTGTATTGTTTTTACAAGAGGATTACGCTTTTTTTTTATTATCATGATTTTTAAAAATGCCCTCCATATAAAGTTTTTGCTTGTTCTAAAATATGCTTGCTAAATTTTTACTTACAGTATGTTTATTTATGTTATCTTATCTTCTTCCTCTACTTATTTGAGGTCTAGTTGATTTGTTAGTTTTAAGGTTGCCTATCTTTGTAGGAGTTCTGGGGAGATGGACTGCCAACTGTATTTCCATCTTTTTGGAGGTCTTTCCGGCTGCCTCTTACCCATGGCTTTCCCTTCAAGAGCTATGCGTGGCAGCCTGTTTTCTTCCATGCGTTTTACGTCTGAGAACCATTGGCTTTTTCTTTGCCTACCCCATCTCACTACGTCCTGTATTACATTGTTGTCTGATATTTGTGTTTCTAATTCTGTCTCTTCTAGTCTTTTCCATGATGGTTCTTAGATTCTTCATTTTAGCGACTCTTAACTTGCTTTTGGTTTTGTTTGTTTCCTCTCGGATTTCTATGCCATATGTCATTATTGGTCTGATGCAGAGGTCTTATAAATTTTAATTTTGCTGCCTGTTCGCATCGAAGAGATTTGTCCACACTATTTTCCTCAGACATCCTGACATGGCCGTTGCTATGTTTGTGTGACTTCTCAAATCTTATTTCTGGATCATGGTAGTACGATATATCTATTCCTAGGTCTCTAAATTGTGATACTTGCTCAATAATTTTGTTTTCTACTACCAGTTTGCATCTTACCGACTCTTTAGAGAAAGTTAAACATTCAGTTACCTATTTCTGTAGAGATAATCATATTTAATTCTCGGCTTACTTGGTAGAATTTATGAAGCTGTCTCTGCATATCGTCGTCTGTCTCCGCGATAATGGCCGCATCATCAGTGTGTCCCATTCGATAACCGATATTCATCGAGGTCACCTGTTTTATGATGATGTCCATTAAAAGATTGAATAAGAAGGTTGTCTCCTTCTCTAATGCCTCTTGGTGTTGGTATGTTTCGTGTTAATGTAATTAATCTGCGACAATGTCATTATGACACATTTAACATTGTCATTTGGATGTCATTATGGCTTTCATAATAGCACTAGTGCTATTATGAATTCATAATAACACGCAAATTTTAAAATAAGAAACAAGCAAAAAAGGTACCTAAATACGTTTACTTATTGTAAACATTAATTATAATATCAGTACAATTGGTTAAATTAATTCCAGACGATGACAGGTGAGTTGAATTCTTAGAAAGTAAATTTATTTCCTGAGTGCTTGAACTTGTTGAAGACCCATCATTGCCAGAAATGTTACCCAAAATATTACATGACACCTTTTTCTTATTTTCTTTGTAATTTTCTATATAGCTCTCTGCTGTGCTGTGTTAGAGCGCCAACCATCATGTCTTTTAACAGTTAATAAATCCACTCCTGAATCTGCAAGCAACGACGCAGACGATCTACGGAAACAATGTCCAGTGTATTGTTGTGGATTTGGAAGACTTAGGAACAATGCTATTTTATACGGCATTTTCCATAAAGTATTAATGCCAACGGGTTGCTTAATACATTTTCCATTTCTGTATCTAACAAAAAATCGAGTATGCTCTGTGTTGCTTGGCCGCATAGCTATACAGGGTTGTTCACCACATACGACACGGAGTATTGTAGCTAAACGACTAGATTTTAACAAATTGTAAGTTTTGGGTTCGTTGAAGGACTATTAGAGCTACAATTTAAAAATATTTTTACAAGATACAGAGTGTCCCAAATAAATAAAAAATATCAAAGTTGTATTTTTTTAAATGGAACACCCTGTATATTATTACATTTTTAGTTTTTATAATTAAAATAAAGGTAAATTTGGTTAAGGTTTATTACACTTAAACCTTACCGTTTTTAAAATATTTTCAATTTTGTAAAATTGCAGTAAACATTTTAAGGCTTCATTTCCCCGAGGGTATCAAAGTTTTCAATGCTAAATATTTACTGAAGTTTATTTACTGATCAGTTATTGTGTTGCAATAATAAAAATTATACTACCTTATACAGAGTATCTAAAAATTTATTTTAAATAATTACTAGCTTTAAACAGCAATAACTTGTTTAATTTAAATGGAACATCCTGTATATTTTATGATAATCAGATGCACAATTTAATTGTCTATCAAATTGTATTATACCATTTGTACCTATCTCTTCAAGTTTCCGTAGAAAATGCATTTTCTTGTAATTTAGAACTCATTTATCAATATACCCATGGAATACTGACATTTTAGATTATTTTTAAAGTTGCACCAAATTTTTAAAGAGTACAGACACTAATATTGTCGATATAGTTCGATTATTTCATTAAAAAATAAAAAAACTGTTTAAATATTTGTTAAAGAGGGCCAATTAATGTGATTCCAGTATTCAAACTGCATTAATTGACTGCTTGCGTTGATTAATAATAATTGGTCCAAACACCAAAAAATGTATTTGGTATGTGTATTAGACAGTGCGGTAAAAAGTAACACCTTAAAAATGATATTTCTTTTTTTGACAAATGTTTATTTATTACAACAGAGACGTTCATTTTCATAACTTATTATTTTATTGATTTCTGATTCAAATCCACATTTATTTAGAATAATTTATTAACGAACATAATTAAGTATGTAATTAATTAGTATTTGAGCGGAAATAATAGTGGTATATTTAATTAATAGTATACTCTTTTATAAAGATTTAAATAGTTTTCTTTTTGCATACAAATGTGCTAGTAATGTTATCATTTTGCTAAAAGGGATAATATTACTAGCCTGTACATTTTGTACATTTGTTGCTTTAAAAACAATCTAAGATGTCAATATTCCATAGGTATATTGATAAATGAGGTCTAAATTATAAGAAAATGCATTTTCTACGAAAACTTGAAGGGATAGGTAAAAAGTGGTAAAATACAATTTGATAGACAATTAAATTGTGCATCTGATGCTTCTAAAATATACAGGGCGTTCCATTTAAATTAAACAAGTTATTGCCGTTTAAAGCTAGCAATAATTTAAAATAAATTTTTAGAAGACTCTGTATGAGGTAGTGTTATTTTTATTATTGCAACACAATAACTGATCAATAAATAGACTTCAGTAAATATTTAGTATTCAAAACTTTGATACCCTTGGAGAAATGAAGCCTTAAAATTTTTACTGCAATTTCACATAATTGAAAATATTTCAAAAACGGTAAGGTTTAAGTGTAATAAACCTTAACCAAATTTACCTTTATTTTAATCGTAGAAACTAAAAATGTAATAATATACAGGGTGTTCCATTTAAAAAAATACAACTTTGATATTTTTTATTTATTTGGGACACTCTGTATCTTTTAAAAATATTTTTAAATTGTAGCTCTAATAGTCCTTCAATGAACCCAAAACTTATAATTTGTAAAAATTTAATTGTTTAGCTACAATACTCCGTGTCGTATGTAGTGAATAACCCTGTATATCTTCGAACCATTTCCACCATATTTATTCCTTCAACATTCCCTTTCGTTATAAAAAAAATCTCGTGATAGCTTTGTTTTCGTAAATGGAATAATGACATGAATGCATTGTCCTTCATCTTTAACATTTTGCAGCTGCAGATTTGTCAACTCGATACGCCGGCAGGCTCCCGCAAGTCCCACTATCAATGAAACTTTTGTCAGAAAATAAGTTTTATCATCGGCTTCCAACAAAAAACGAGTTATGTCTTCTTTTTTTAAAATTCTCGATTTTTTTGACCGAAATCCTTCCGATTTTCTTTTTAGAAATGCAATTAAATGGACGTACTTACTAATATCTGTATTTTTCTTCACTGATATAACTGAACGTAGCATGGAATAATATACCCAAAGCGATGAAGCCTTCCTATGTTTCGAAAGATGTTCAAAATATGCCAGGAAGACCTTTTCGTTACTACTATTCTTGATTCCTTCCCCTTTACACCAATCTTCAAGTTTTACATTGGCTTGCTCGTACGTTTGTCTTGATTTTTCGGGAAGTAGGGAATCGACAACGTTTTGCGCAATGCCATCAATATCGGAAGGGACACTTTCAGAATCAGAATCACCCATATTAATATTATTTTTTGCTTTTTGCTAAAACTAAACGTTTAACACAAAATTGAACATCAATAATTGAGTTGTGAAAGTCAAAATGGAAACAATCAACAAGCGCGGTTACCACGGCGTAATATGGGCACCTGATAATTTTGAATTTTAATTTTTATGAGGATATCTCTGATATTTTAAATTAAATCAAATCTCTTTGGATCGTCCCTCGTGTCGCGTCGTAGATTAAATTTTGAATGATACACGTTCGATACGAACTTTTTAATGAAACTAATCTTAACGTTACGCGCGTTTCATTATGATGTTCGTATCGAACTTCTATCATTAATAACTATTATGTTATGTTCTTTAAAAATAAGTGGTAACCGCTAAAAGTCTAATCCACTTTAATCTAACTATTCTAATCACCTTCAAAATGTTCGTTACTTATCAAACAGTTTGAAAAGAACTTTATATATCTTAATAGTGATTTTTGTCGCTGGAAAACTCCAGGAAAACGACAGCACTATCCGGAAAATTAGTTTTTCTCGTACGAATGAAGGAGCGGGATTATAATAAATATATATAGCTTAGCACGCCCGACCTTTTAACGTAGATTGCGTTTTAATACGAAGCGAATGTACGTAGAGGTAGGTCGTTGCCAAGAAAAATATCTCCCAGCAAAGAAGCCGTAATTTTTACAGGAAAGTGTATCCAGAAAAAGAATTTTTAAGATCTAAAAATATAAGATTTTATTTTTTTCCTTTACTGAAAGCTAGATGCAAATCATTTGTAACGACGATGCTTTTATATAAATTTAAAATTTTTAATTCTATTATATACAGGGTAATTTTTAAATAAATACTTACTTCAGCCCGAAACTTTTCGGTCTACCCTCGTATTTTTTAACCTGCTGTGGCGTTCTTTTCACTCTATCACGAAGTACTTCTTTGAACCAAACCTGTCATCTTCCTTTTTTTCTAACGATTTTAATGTCTAGATATAATCAATTCCAAAGATATTTGATAAGAATCTCGTCGTTTGAGAACGACCTAATTAAAAATTTTGCATAATTAAATCCAAAATCGACTTAATTAATCCAGAACGCCGTTGTAGAAGCGTCTAATTAGTATTTTATCCCCGTAATAAAATTCCACCTTTATTATGACTGCAATACCTATCTGCTTCAATCATTTTTATTTATTAATTTTTAATTAAAAAATATAGTTAAGCTGCCCATTATACACCTCGATAATCGTTTATAATTTCCAGTAGGTTGCTTTCCAGGCTTGCTCGATTCGTGTTTTGTTGGAAAGGACAAAAGATTTTTTAAGATTCTCGCTGTTATTAAATTTTTAAAATATTAAGTTCTTAAAATTGCGCAGAAAGAATTTAAATATCTTCGTTTTGATGAAAAAGAAATGGATTTCAAGCTTTTAAACTATATTATACCGTATGATCGAATAAAAACGGCGTCCAGTTGGCTTGGAAATGACGATCGATGACATTTCCCATATAAATTTACATATAAAATGACAGCGATCTTTATTTCATAGCCATCGCTGACGCCGTTTTTATTCGATCATACGGTATATACTATTGTATATATTTACTATTCCAAAATACCTTCACTTCCAAGAAAAATTATATAATTACTTAATTTTAAGGAAATTTCATAAATGATCGGTTTACAACACGTACGTATATTATACCCTACTGGCAAGCGAAACCTTGGGTCGGCGTTTACATGTATCGGAGTGAATCGCTATGGCAATCTAGTAAGTCGGAGAGAGTAAAAATACGAAGTATTTATTACATAACCACTTAATAAGACGCTAGATTCATGCGCTTGGGAAACTACTTGCCTTCTGTCTTTATTCAGTACATCTTATTTTGCTAAGCGTGTTGACCGTACTCTTCGTACACACGAAAGTCGGCATGCATAAGACCAGAAATGCCCTAGTATAGTCCCTTACTAGCGAAAAGTTATTCCATTATTTCCCTCGATTTTTTACCGAGATCTACCGCACGCTACACAACGAAATATTTTACAGACTTTTTCGATAAATCGCAATAGTGTCACTGTTAATTTAAGTTCTGCTACAATTTCCTTCTAGATTTACTACCTTTAAACAACTATCAGTAGAAGAATGAATAATAAATAACATAAAATAAGCTCAGTAAAGACTGACAAATCCACAAAATTTCAAATCAAATTCAAATGTGTCAAATGGATCGTCAAACAGAACTGTCAAGGATCCCCATCCTAGAGTCCTCTTTCCGTCGACTATGCAAAATATATGGATGGTATTATACTCCTTCCTAAGGTTGACTATGGCTTTCAATATGCAAAATATAACGTACAGCCCCCGCAAAGCGTTAATCTGAAAGAGAGAGAACATCTTCCTCGTTTTACAAAAATATTCGATAGCTAGAAAATATCTACGTAAATAAAAATGGATTTTTCGTCGAATATCTTATTCTATTATGCATCCTACTATAAATCATTCACGCAGAAGGCGTATATTAACCTCTTCAGCCGCCATGCATCACTCTATTTACGGCCCACGTACAAAACAGTGTTGCATCGGCGGCAAAATATGTTTGCTCATCTTTAAAATGCATCCCACCGCCGCCATTATATCGACTGCGAAATGCATCAATCGATGCGATTTAAGCACGAAATGCAAATTCGCAAAGAAGATGGATATCATCGCGTAAAATAGGCTTTGGAATCTTTTATAGGTACGTTATAGACGAAATATATAGTTGAAGGAATATGACGATAAATTTGTTTAATAATATGTAAATATGGTAGGCGCAGTGACAGGCCAAATTTAATTTTATTTAGCTTAAGAATACGGTATTTGCATTGTCCTGGAAATCAAATTTCAAATTTTCCATGCTACAATAGATAGAACTAATATTTAGGTACTGTTTTTTTAGTGTGAACCTTTTAAAATTTATTTATTAGCTTCTTGTTTTCTTTTCTTCTATATATTTATATATATACACTACTGGCAAAGGAATATTAGCAATAGGAGGTTTTCAATGCGATAAAAAAAGATGGTAAGGCTGCAAAATACACTGCAGTGCAACAGAGACGGATAAAGTGTCTTTTCCTTACCATCGTATAGGGGAAGTGATCATAGAAGTGATACGACGAGAGAGCCCCTGCGAGAGGGGGCATTTTATTAACTAAATAGAATTAATTTTTAGGACCATTTAAACCATTACCATGCAGCCATTGTTTCTTAAAGTCAGGAACATTTAAAGAAAACATGAAAAACTAGACAACAAGTAATCGTGAATGTTTTGTAAGCTATAAAAATATAAATATTGATTCGATTTGTTTATTTATTATTGATCTGTTTTAATTTTGGACCTGTAAATTCATTTGAGCTGTCTAACGAGTTTAACAGTTTACTAGAATTTTTTTTTTAGAATTTAGAATGAGTGGGAGGGGGGTTAATCACTTCGACCTTACAGATCCATTGTGTCCCCCTTTCTTGAATCATAACTCATCATACAGTCCCAGGGCTTTGACAAAAGCCAGTATCTGGGACGGTTTTATAGAGGGTAGTTCTCCATCTCCAATATCAGTCGTACCAAAATTCATGGCACGAATGGTTGTCGTCTCGGCGCACTCAGTGATGAGGTGTACTGGTGTTTCCCCATCTTCCCCACAGAATCTGCATTCGCCGTTTTTTCTTAGTTTCAAGTTCACTCTCTTAGTTCACTTGGAAAGCAGAACGGTTCTGGTCCAGTTAGTGGAGTGTTCGCTCCTTTCCTAGCTAGATTATTTACTTTTTCATTGCCTTCTATCCCTTGGTGAGCAGGCACCCAGTGTAGGAGGACTTTGTTTTCTTTGCCTAATTTATTCAGCTTCTCTATGCATTCTTTGACCAATTTCAAATCGATTGATACTGAGTTGATCGCCTTTAACGCTGCTTGACTATCAGATAAGATGGCTATTTCTTGTTTCCGATAGTTCCTATCTAAGATAAGTTGTACGCATCTCTCGATAGCGTAGATTTCTGCCTGTAGGATACTAGGGTAAGTGCCCATTGGTTCGGAGTAATTAGCTCTCGGCGCAAACACTCCGATCCCTGTTCCCGTATTGGTTTTGGAAGCATCAGTATACCAAGTTATGGTATGGTCTTTTAACTGCTGGGCAAGCGTTTCGCTCTTCCAATCCTTCTTATTGCTCAATACTACATTGACATGTTTGTCAAAGTTGTACGTTCTGGCATATCGTCCACTGGGAGTTGCATGAGTTGTATTTCCTTTTTGAGGGTGTTCCAAGCCCCTGATTGACAATTCTCCCAGTACTAATTCCGTTAGTGACCATTCTAATCATTGTCGCATTGGCATATCTACCAATGACAATATGCAGTGGTGTTAGATCTAGAATGACCTCCATTGCTGCTGTTGGACAGGTTCTCATGGCTCCTGTGATGCAAACACATGCTAGTCTCTGGACTTTGCATAGGTTTAGCCTTGCCGTCCGTTGCTCTAGTTTTGTGTAACAGTTTACTAATAAAGTACTTTTCAATATTAAACTCCATTGAAAAGAAGAAGCAAACGTAAAAGCAGGGAATAGGTACATTAAATACGTAAAAGATAAATTTTATTATAGAGGTATTGAAATTTAGAAAACGTCAACATTTGACGTTTCCAATATTTTACCAAACCGTTCCGTATCAAACCGATGTTTTTTTAGGAACCGCTCTTTACCGTAGTTTACCGGTCTGGTTCGCCTGGTTTTGCAACGGAATACAGACAATTCAGATACAAGAAAGAAGCACCGACTTTCACATTAATACAGTATTTTTAATTTTTTAGAAAAATGTATTTTTTTGTACTAAAATAATTTGTCCTAAAATTTCTGTTTTTTTTAATAAGGTCTTTGAAATTGTGCTTGATTTTTTTAGAGGTCCACAAACTGAAAAAGGTTAAGAAACGCTGCTCTATACATCCTCGACCTAAATCTTACCGACTTTTTTACTTTTCCAAAAATTAAGAGTGAACTTCGTTGATCTAAGGTTCCAGTTCCCAGAAGATGCAGTCAGCGCCTTCAAAAACGCAATTTTGAAGGTATCAACAAGGGAGAGGAATAACTGCTTTCAGAATCGGTTTCAAAGGATGCAAAAATGCATTTCTCTTCGTGAAGAATACTTCGAAAAACAATAGTGTTTAAAAATTATCTACTATTTTTTTTTTCTACCTTTATATGTGGACTATAAAAGGCAATCTTCTTAATATTGACGTTCTCTTCTGTTACAGTCTCATCTGTTCTTCGTTATGGAGTACCTCAACGGTGGCGACTTGATGTTCCACATCCAAGCTGAAAGACGATTTTCTGAAGCAAGAGCAAGGTTCTACGGTGCTGAAATCGTTTCAGGTTTGAAGTTCTTACACAACAAAGGAATTGTTTACAGGTAAGAAACAATATTTTTTCTGTAGATGTTATTTATTTACTTATTTTATTTTCAAAATAATAATATCTTTGATAACCCAGACTAGACTGCGAGGGTACTATTTCAGATTTTGTGATATATTTTTATGTATAGTCTGTCCAACATGCCGGGATGATGCCTGACAGTGACAGATGTGTCTGTCAATTTAATTCGCAGGCAAAGCGTAGCATAGATAAATAAAACAAGTTTAGATTGGAAAGTGCCTATAAGGACAATGTAAACACTATTTGGCGCTATTCTTGCAACGGTCGCGACCCAAAGCTTTTGATAATTTCGTGCGGTTAAGCTTTTTTCGTAATTTCGTCGCCAAATATTATTTATTCAAATTTATTATTATTTTCTTTTGATTTTATAAATAAAATACAGTGTGTTGCATACAACAAACTTTATTTTATATAAGAACATGTATGTGAAATACCTATGAAACAATGGAAACCGATGTTATGCCACGATCCACGATGGTTTTTGCAGTTCACAGTTCCCAACACAGTTTTTATTGCCACTTTTTCACAATTATCACGGGTCTGAGTAAGTAAAATTTAAATTAAACTCACAAGATAGCAATAATTACTTTGAAAGTGGACGCCATAAACACTTTTCGGTATTTTTTTCAATGAGGGCAGTTTAAATTTTGAAAGATTTTATAATTTTTGAAGATTCTGACTTTGACAAGAGAAAATTATTTCTGTTCTTGTTTACGGTTGTTCTTAGCAACCGCTATAGCAGCGCCAGATCGCGTACAAAGGTCGCGACCCAAAACAATTATATATTTTGTCAGGCTTTCCAATATAAATTTATTTCCTTTATCTATGAATCGTAGTTTCTATAATTTTTTGAATACCGTCTGCCGAAATCTTCTCTCTGGGTTGTTGGACAGACTATACTACATTGAAAAGAGAAATTTACATTTATTTCTCAATAATTTTTTATATTTTTCAAGAAATTCGTTTAAGTAAAATGTAAAATCTAGTAAAATTTCATTTTTATTAGTTTTTTTACTCTCCTAATCGGACATATTTCTAGAAAAACCTCTAAAATCCAAAACACATGTATTCTTTATTTCTAAATTTGTATTAATTAGAACGATTAAAAAAGAACTAAAAAAGAGATTTTAGTAGTTCACAACCTTTAGTCAGTTTAAAATAACGCCAAAGAGACAAAACACATGTAGAGAAAAAATCACAATGTTTATTTCAAAAATAGTAAATTTGTTTCAATCAATAGGCAAACCTAGTTTAATGTTTACTTTATTTCTTTCACTAAACAATCTATGTCATAAATTACTAGAGCCTGTAAATATATTACGTTCTTTCCAACCGGACCGAGAACCGATCCTGGGACGGTAATTTCTAGTCGCCCACTTATTGTTTGAAAAGTTTGATCGTTTGTCAAGATTGACAGATGAATTGACTGATAGGAAATTACCGTTCTAGGACGGTTGGAACAAACATATTATAATCGTGTATTTTTATCTAAAATTTTCAATACTATTTATTAACATTATGTATACAGGCTATATTCCGTTGCAAAACCAGGCGAACCAGACCAGTAAACTACGGTAAAGAGCGGTTCTTGAAAAATATCGGTTTGATACGGAACGGTTTGAATTTATCTAATTTCAATACCTCTATTATAAAATTTATCTTATGCATTTTTAATGTACCTATTCTCTGCTTTTACGTTTGCTTCTTCTTTTCAATGGAGTTTAATATTGAAAAGTACTTTATTTATTAACTGTTAAACTCGTTGACAGCTGAAGTGAAGATTTGCAAGTCCAATATTAAAACAGATCAATAATAAATAAACAAATCGATTCAATATTTATATTTTCATAGCTTACAAAACAATCACAATTACTTGTTGTCTTGTTGTTCATGTTTTCTTTAAATGTTCCTGACTTTAAGAAACAATGGCTGCACGATAAGTTTAAATGGTCTTAAAACGCCATTCTACTTAGTTAATGAAATGTATTTCCCTTTACTGCCTACCTTCATTGCTTTTGGATGTAAATACTAAATATTATAACAAATTTTAGAAATCAAATGAGAATTTCACTCGAACTTCAAATATTTGCTTGATTTGTCACATAAATGACATTGATTGACAAACAAAACCAGAAAAATCAGCCTTCTCGCGCTGGTTAGTTTGGTGACAGTTATAACCGATTTTTTCAGGAACCGCGTTCCGTAATAAGAAAACTTTCAGGAAACCTAGAAACGGAACTTAAAACCATAACCAAGGTACGGTAAAATGGGTGGAATAGAAACATAGTGGTGAAAAGAAACAAAATTTCTGAAAAAAATCAAATCACGATTAAAAATATTCAAAGTAAAAAGAGTCGACATATCTAATTTTTCTGTCATTGGTAATACACAATAAAATGTAAAAACTGTATTTTTATCTGTGGCAGCACTGTTTCTGTTAATCACCTGATCAATAAATGTGAGTGATTTATCACTTATTTTGTATGGCGCGAAAACTTTATAAATAAAATATTTATTTTTAAAGTAATACATAAGCTGGTACATGTAAGTTGTTATATTATATGTATTGTTAATGATTGTTAAACCTACTTAAATATGTAATAATTTACTGTTTCTAATTACCTTGTTGGAAGTAGAATAGATAAACACCTTAACATCAATGTGTGTTTCTATTCTCCCGAATAGCAGGTGAATAGAAACACAAATGTTATTTTTATTTAATATTTATACGCATATTTTTCAACAATCAAATTATATGTATACGCAAAGAACAAACAAAGACCCATGTTTTAAAATATTCGGGAAAATAATACCACATTTTTATCAACCGGTATAGTCTACGAAACTGTTTCTATTCACCCCATTTTTCGGTAAGCAACGGAATACTAATAATTAATTTTTAATTTAAAATTCTTTTTTGTAGAGGTTAAGTTACTTCCTGTTGCCATTTTTGACTATGAATTATCTCAGCATACTGACAAGTTGATGTACTATCAATTTAACATTTAAATTCACAAAAATTAAGGAATTATTTGCTGAACATCCAAATCCTAAAATTAATCAGGTGTTTCAAAATTAACTGGGTGTTAACTATTTTTCTAAAACTTCCGTCTTGCACAAAACTTGACTGACGACGTTATAAAATAGTTGGCAACCTTATCACATCCAGTTATTGAGAAGGCTTAAAGGCTTCATAATAAATTGCCCGCTTTCATGTAGTTCCAGTAACATTGGGAAATAGAAAAGTCGAAAAATACGTTTGTATTTTAGGATTAAGTTTGTTGTTTCGAGAATTTTCGAATATTTTTAAACAAAATAAGAGATCTTTAAAAATAGAATCTGTATTGATGTTTTTCTTGTTCTTTAGTTGATTATACAGGGTGGTCCGACCTGTATTCTAACGACCTGAAGACTAATAATTTTTCGTCCGTACCTGTGTAAAACTACCGAGTAAAAATATACATTTACGACGTTTTTTATGTAAAAATTAAGTAAATATTTTGAGTTTCGGTTTTTACGTATTGATAAGGTAACGATGCTAAAACGGTTTTAAAAAGTAGTTTGCTAAGTACTTGCGAACCACTGGACCTGATGATCTTTCGTTAATTTGCATAGGTTCTTCTTGTAAATTGAATATTTGCTGTGATGGTGTTTGGAATATTCTCAATACTTGCCGAATAAGGAATACCATCTCTAATCCGGACAAAATTATGCAATACACATACGGATTTCGTTATGTTTACTACAGTATCGTAGTTAATACATCGAATTGGGGTTTGCAATACTTGAAATTTGTATGTCATCTTTCCGAAAGAACATTCGATTGTTTTTCTGGCCCTACTCAATCTGAAATTAAATATTCGTTTGTTGTTATCAATAGAGCCAGTAGGATATGGCCTTAGTAAATAACGCTTCAATGGGAAAACATTGTCTCCCACCAAAAAATATGGTACCAGCTGTTGAGTTTCATCGTGAGGTAATTGAGAAGACTTCGAGTCAGTAACCAATTCTCGAAAAAAATTCCTCCGTCATTATTGCGGCCAGCAAACCCGGTCTCAGTTATCGTATACCATCCATCAGCATTGCAGATTGCCATTAAAACAATCGAATTGTAATGTTTATAATTGTAATTCGAGGAGCCAGAATTTGTTAGCTTTTTATACGTATGTGTTTGCCGTCGATAGCACCTAGGCAATTTGGCAAATTCCATACATAGGAGAATCTCCTACTTATTTCCTTCCATCCCTCACTGTCAGGCAATGCCATATACTCAGGTTGTAGAGAATTCCACAAAGCCACTGTGGTGTCTGCTATAATACTATATAATAGTTGATATAGTATTGTCTCCTCTAGTAAAATACAGTCCCAATGAAACAAAACTGCAACCAGACGCCAAATATCTGAAATACAGAAACTGAAAAACTCAAAAAAACTCGTTTATAATTGAGTAGTGGTTCTCGAGATATTTGGAATCGAAATTCTCAATGCCTGTCATCATTGACATAAATTAAACATGTTGACTAAATAGTTATTAAACTGAAATCATAAAATTGAAATGTTTTTGTGCCAAAAGTTCAATAGAAACTGTTTTATCATCATTTTTTCAAGAAACATTTATGGTTAATTTAAAAAATAAAAAGTTCCCAAATTTATCATTTCAGTTAAATAACTATCAACTGAACATGTTTATTTTTTGTCAATAATGACATGTATTGACTATTTTCATTCTAAATATCTTGAGAACTGTTGCTCGTAGCGATTTTTACCAATTTTCATCCAAATATTGACGTTACCTCAGAAATTATTAGGAAAAAATCGAAATAAAAATGAAACTTCCACACCCTGTATCTCCGAAATTAAGCATTTTTGGACATACATTTATACGAACTTTTTTACTTATTTTTATATGCACAATATGCTGCCAAAGTTTCCGGAATACAGTTCGGACCACCTTGTATAGGGTGATTCACTATGATG